GTATTTCTTCCAAGACAGATTTGTTTGTTCTTCTGGCAGTCCATGGTATATTCGATATTCTTCGCAAACACTGTAACTCAAACGCATCAATCTCTTCTTTGGTCTTCCTTATTCATTGTCCAGCTTTCCCATGCACATGAGGTGACTGAAAATATCACGACTTGGGTCAGGTGCACCTTAGACCTCAAAGCGACATCTTTGCTTTTCGACACTTTAAAGAGGTCTTTTGCAGATTTTTCCATTGCAATGCGTCATTTGATTTCTTGACTGCTGCTTCCATGAGCGTTGATCGTGGATCCAAGTAAAATGAAATCCTTGACAACTTCAATCTTTTCTCCGTTTACCATGATATTATTGGTCCGGTTGTGAAGATTTCTGTTTTCTTTGTAGTAAGATGTAATCCATAGTGAAGGCTGTGGTCTTTGATCTTCATCAGTAAGTGCTGCATGTCCTCTTCACTTTCAGTAAGCAGGGTTGTGTTATCTGCACATCATAGGTTGTTAATCTTTCTCTAATCCTGACGCCACATTCTTCTTCACGTAGTCCAGTTTCTCAGCTTATTTGCTCAGCATACTGATTGAATAATTACAGTGAAAGGATACAACTCTGATTGCACACCTTTCCTGATTTTAAAACATGCAGTTTCTCCTGTTCTGTTAGACTGCCTGCCTCTTGATCTAGGTACAGGTTCCTCATGAGCACAATGAAGTGTTCTGGAATTCCCATCCTTCGCAATGTTATCCATAATTTGTTATGATCCACACAATCGAATGTCTTAGCATAGTCAATAAAACACAGGTAAACATCTTTCTGTATTCTCTGCTTTCAGCCAGGAACCATCTGACATCAGCAATGATATCCCTGGTTCCACGTCCTCTTCTGAATCCAGCTTGAATTTCTAGCCGTTCCCGGCCAATGTACTGCTGCAACCATTTTTCAATTATCTTCAGCAAAATTTTACTTGCATGTGATATTAATGATATTGTTCAATAATTTCCACATTCCATTGGCTCACCTCTCTTTGGAATGGGCTGTCTTCCAAATTTCTTGTCATAGACGAGTGCACACTTCCAGTGCTGCATCCATTTGTTGAAACATCTCAACTGGTGTCCCATCAATTCCTGCAGCCTTGTTTTTCGCCATTCCCTTCAGTGCAGCTTGGATTTCTTCCTTCAGTACCATAGGCTCTTGATCATATGCTACCTCCTAAAATGGATGAATGTCAATCAATTCTTTTTGGTACAAGTGACACTGTGTATTCCTTCCATCTTCTTTTGATGCTTCCTGAGTCATTCAATCTGTTGCCCATAAAATCCTTCAAAACTGCAATTTGAGGCTTGAATTTTTTCTTCGGTTCTTTCAGCTTGAGAAATGCTGAGCATGTTCTTCCCTTTTGGTTTTCTAACTCCAGGTCTTTTATACATTCCATTACAATACTTTGCCTTCTCGAGCCACCCTTTGAAATCTTCTGTTCAGTTCCTTTACTTCACCACTTCTTCCATTCACTTTACCTACTCTACAGACAAGAGCAAGTTGCAGAGTCTCTTCTGACATCCACTTTGGTCTTTTTTCTTTCCTGTCTTTGTAATGACCTTTTGCTTTCCTCATGTATGATGTCTTTGATGTCATGCCGCAACTCGTCTTCAGTCATTAGTGTTCAACGCGTCAAATCTGTTCTTGCGATGGTCTCCAAATACAGGTGGGATATACTCAAGGTCGTATTTTGGCTCTTGCAGACTTGTTTTAATTTTCTTCAGTTTCAACCTGAACTTGTATACGAGCAACTGATGCTCTGTTCCACAGTTGGCCCCTGGCCTTGTTCTGATGGAAGATACTGAGCTTTTGCATTGTCTCTCTTCCATAGATGTGGTCGATTTGATTCCTGTGTTTTCCATCCGGTGAGGTCCACGTGTACAGTTGCCATTTATGTTGTTGAAAAAAGGTATTTGCAATGAAGTCATTGCTCTTGCAAAATTCTATCATCAGGTGATCTCCGGCGTTTCTATCACCAAGGCCATATTTTCCAACCACTGATCCTTCTTGTTTCCAACTTTCACGTTCTAATCACCAGTAATTATCAATGCATCCTGATTGCATATTTGATCAATTTCAGACTGCAGAAGCTGGTAATAAACTTCAATTTCCTCATCTTTGGCCTTAGTGGTTGGTGTGTAGATTTGAAGAATAGTTGCATTAACTGGTCTTCCTTGTAGGCCTATGGCTATTATCCGATCACTGACAGCGCTGTACTTCAGGATAGGTTTGAGACTAATGTTGTTTGCTGGTGAGGCTGCAATGTGATGTGCACCCCCGAACTCTGTTTACAGGGGAGAGGGGAGAGTAAATTAATAACACTGCCTCTCCGGAAAATATTCTGACAAAATATAACAACAGTTTTAAGATACATTGCACGCTTTTTTTTGCTTTTTTTTTATTGTGGTGAGAACATACATAACAAGCATTTGCCAATTCAACAATTTTTACATGTATAATTCAATGTCTTGCATATTTTTTAATCCAGCAATTTCATTTTGAAGAACGTCTCCTGAGGACGCAATCCAAAATAGGAACAGGATTTTAACACAGAAAAGCTCACGGCAAAACCGTAACAGTGAAAGCGTACACAGGGACACACTAGGGTATGGTTCTGTACAAAAGGATATCATGTGGCTGTGACACATGCTCACGAAGGATTTTACATTACACACAAAATGGGACAGGTTTGCAGGGAAGATACCAAATTTGTCAATAATGCTCATCTGAGCGCTGGAATTTGTCATGATTTTTATTATCCTTTTCTGGGCTTGTCTAAGTTTTCGGCAATAAACGCTGCAAATACAAGGGAACGACCAATTTTCAAAGACGATTCAGAACAGAGTTGAAAGAATGCACAGTAATTTGGTGACAGTGGTGGCCTCTGAGGAGGGGGCTGGGGCAGGGGCAGTGCTGAAGGGACTCTTCCTTTTCAGTTTATATCCTCTGGCAGGTATTACCTGTTCAAAAATCAATAAATAAAAATAGAATAAATGAAGACATTAAAAAGATTCAAAAATATAAATAAAAAACCACAGGAGCTGAGAGGAGGGACTGAGAAGCAGCCCAGGAGGAAAGCAGGAACTCTTCACTCCTGGGAGACACGGGACTCCAGACTTGGGTGGCCTTCTTGGGCCCAAAGCCTGTGGCACGTCACCCCAGGGCCAGCTAGTAGAGGGTGTCTTCGCTAAACTGGTCAGGAGGTAGACCATCTCCTCTTGGCGGGGGGAGGGTCCCCAGGAAAAGGCAGGCAGGCATCAGTGCAGACCTCCAAGGATGGGGACCACTAGTGTCCCCTGGGTCTGGCCCAGCGTGGAACTCAGCACAGGAGGAGTCGACAGGTGGGCCAATACCTACCAGAAGGAACTCGATCCCGGCCCGGATTCTCCCAGGCAGGCTGGTTACAAGTACTTCCAGAATTTGGCAGGCTTTTCAAAGCGGGAAGAGTATTTGAAGTACTCAACCAAAAACGCTTCATTTCATTTTCATGCTAGCCACACATGGATGTTATTACCTTTACGCTGAAGACAGGGCGACTTGAAGCCCACTAAGGTTACAAACACTGGGGAGGAGGCACGCCCTGACCACAGATCTTTAGCTTGTGGGACCTAATGAGGGGCTTATTTGGAAGGAAGAGCAGAAATGACGCCTTCAAATGGGAGGCCACACTCATTCCCAGAAAGACAGCCCCTAGGCCACACAGTCCCCGCTGCGGGCAACACACAGTCAGAGTGGCCTGAGTACCTCCGGGAGGTATGATGCAGACTGACAGGGTCGCTATGGGACGGCATGGGTTTGGCAGCGGGCAGGCCAGCTGGAGAGCAATTTCTCTGAGATAAGGGCTCAGTCATTGCAACCCGTGAGCATTCTCCTTCCTTAATCACCGTGGGCTCTAACGCACCCCAATGTAATCTTCACATACGTAGAGGTGCTGGGCCAGGCACTGCCTCCCTCCCCAGTCGGTCCTTAGCAGAAGCGCCTCCCTCCCTCCCTGCCCCCAGGGAGGCCAGCGCTGCTACCAGCCAGTAGGGGGCACCCAAGTCCCCGCCTGGGGACCACAGGAGGTTCTGGGGTTTCCCTGTAGCTGCTAGGAGAGGGTTAGTCTGGGTGGCATGCACACCGGCAGGCAAAGGCAGGTGTCGGACACCAGAATTGGGGGACGCGCTCATGAATTCTTTAAAGCCACCAAATCTAGTACCTTCCCTTTCGTTCTGTGAGGAAGACTCCCAGATGTACAGATGCCTTACAGAAAACATGTGGGGAAAGGAAGGTTCAGACAGAATGACTGCAATTCAATGGCACTTAAGTGGTGCTTCTGCAGGTGACTAAGGTGGAAACATCTCTTAGACTTCAGAAAGAACAATGCTTTATACTGAACAGGCTCAATTTAACTAAAAGGCGTAACTCAGGAAGTACCATCATTTCTCAGGATACAGCGAGACCCCGGGAGGGGAGAGCCTCGGGTGCAGCTTGTGGGAGAATGGGCCGAGTGCACTTGGCCTTAGTGACTTCCTCACCAGGCCCATCCGTCCCCGTGAGGCCACTCAGAGGTCACCAGGCGGGGAGGGGTGAACTCCGGAGGGAAGTATGATTCCAGCCTGGGCTGTCCCCAGCCCTGAGATCCTGGGCCCCAAGGGGGGCCAGTCTTGCAACAGGTGCTTGGAACAGGAGTCATCTTCGCAAGGGGAGAAGGCCGGGCGGGACAGTGACACGCGGTCAGAGTCAGGTGAACACCGTGACCTTCCTCCAGACTTGTGCCGACAGCAGAGCATTCGGAAAACTGCCCCAATGCCCACTGCTGACCGCCGCCGCTCGCCAGCCTCCCAGTCCCAGGATAATCAGTGCATGCCGTGCAGGACAGCACAGAACACATCTTCTTCCGGAGTAACTTCCAGAACAGGAGACGGCACAACCGTAGTCCCCCCAACAGAAAACTGAGCTCCAGGTGAAGGGAATACACTGACGACGTGGAGGATTCTCAGGGGGGTCTGCTCAGCTGCCCCCAAGCCGCCGGCCTCCTTCTAGACGAGTTACCGCATCCTCTGAGTGAACCCCGCTTCCTGGGAGGAGCGGCCTAGTCGTCGTACTGAATCTCTGCCCGCAGCTCCTTGCTGATGTAGCTCACCAGCATCGCCAGCAGCTGCCGCTGCAGGGCCTCACTGCCCATGACCAGCGCGGTCAGCTGCACGGCGTCCGTCCACTCCAGGTGCCTGAGGATGGCAGCCGCCTCGTTGAAGAGCTTCTGCTGCTCGGCAGGGGGCAGCTCCATTATGATCTGAGGAACTGGCTTAAACTGTCCACTCGTCATCCAGGCACCTAACAGGCCCCCGACGGCCCCTCCTGGAAAACAAGAAAAAGTTTCATTAGTCGGACCTCACTCATAAATGACAGCCTGCGCTTCCTGCTGAGAGCACATCCACCAGTACGACCAGTGGGCGCATTTGTGAGCGGGTCAGAACAGGCTGGGCGTCACGCCTGCACGGCCAGGCAGCACGGGGGTAAGTTTTATGGGGTTGGCGGTCCATTCGGCTCAGCTGACACTCAAACACGCCCTTCCGTAAGCTCCGTGCTGCGGATGCAAAGTGAAGCATCTCCACGCCACAGAGCTGGGCCAGCTAAAATCCTCCTCAAGGGCTGAAGGTTCTCATGTTCCCCCCAAAATCTCTCTCATCACGAGAAAGGAGTGAGAAGCAAATGTATTCTCGAGGATCACCTCAACGCTGAGGCCAAGTTCATCCCTGAGGACCATTTCCGTGCTGAGGCCAAGTTTCCTCCCCGGGGTGACTAAAACACACTTAGCCCTGAAACTGTGGAAACTTCCAGTGCATTCATGCAGTTAAAGGACCCAGGGACAGACAAGCAGAGTCTTTTCTCTGGAAGCAGTGTTTTTCATGCAACCCCTCCAAAGCTGTATGATAAGTAATACATTTAATTCATTCAACTCTTTCTCTTTCTGCTACCCACAAAAGGGTACAAACATTATTTTTTAATTTAAACTTATTGCTGACGTTAAGGAGCACCATTTTGAGACATGAGGATTGCATTTGTGGAAAGCCCTACTTGACCAGGCCAGGTCCTGTGGCGGGATGGCGCTCTAGGGCAGCGGTTTTAAATTCAAGGGCCATGGGGGCCAGGCAGGTGACAGGAAGGAGGAGAGTGGGCTGAATGATCCTGTGGTGGCTGGGGGAGCTGGGCCCCTGTCTAGAGGGGCTGCTGCTACTTCATGCCCCTATTGCTGCCACATGGAACAGCTGAAAACCCAGATTACCTTTAAAAAAAAAAAAAAACTCACGATTTTTAAATATTGGCAATTAGATATTTAAAAGATGCAGCCCGGCTGGATTTAGTGACTGGCTTCCAGAGAAGGGGGTGTGGAAAGAACGTGGCAAACACTACCGTAAGTGATCAGGGTAACGTTACCAGTGGTCACGTGGATGCACGTACCCAACAGCCCTGAAGAGAAGGGCGCATCCCTTCCCTGATATTCTTCCAAACCGCCATGTTGTTGTTGCTGTTAGTACTGCTGAGTAAGCCCCCGACTCATGGCGACCCCAGGTACAACAGAATGAAACACTGCCCCGTCCTATACCATCCCCACCATCGGCTGCAATCAGACCACTGTGACCCACAGGGTCTTCACTGACTGATTTCCAGAAGTAAATCACCAGGCCTTTCTTCTTAGTCTGTCTTAGTCTGGAAGCGCTGCTGAGACCTGTTAGCTTCATAGCAACATGCAAGCTTCCAGTGACAGACGGGTAGTGGCCGCACACGAGGCGTGCTGGCCAGAAACAGAGTCTGGATCCCGCCTACAGAAGTCGAGAATTCTACCGCTGAACCACGATTGCTCCCACACTCCCAGGCTAACTGTGGAAAAACATCAGACAAACCCAAACTGAGGGACATTCTACGAAACACCCGACTCTTCAAAAATATCAAGGTCACGAAAAACAAGGAAAATCTAAGAAGCTGTCACAGACCAGGGAAGACTGAGGAGACATGATGATTAAATGCAATGTGGTGTCTTGAACTGAATCGTGGAACCAAAAAAGGTCATTAATGCAAAAACTGGTGAAGCCCAAATAAAGTCCAGAGGACAGCTAACGGCGACGTACCCACGCTGGGTTCTCAGCTTTGACAAATGCAGCAGGGAGGCCCAAGCTGTTAACATCAGGGAACTGAGCGGGAATTCTCTGTACTGTCTTTGTAACTTCTCTCTATATCTAATATTATTCCAAAAAATGAACAACGCAGTCGGGGCCAAAGAAAACCCATTCGCAGGCTGGATGTGGGAAGTCAAGTGTGGTGGCACGCTGGGTGCGTGCACCCTCTCTGCCACTGAGATCAGGGCCATACTCAGGACCTGGAGGCTGCACTCTGCACTGGATGGAGTTCGCCTCCTCTCAGACAGGAAGGAACATTCTGGGAGGAAAACCCGCTACTTCACGAGTTTTACCGAACTTCCCCCGACACCAGTGAAGCGCTCAGAGCCGACAGGAGCTGCATGCATCTGCACTAAACCTTTCTGAGAACATCAATATCTGATTTAGAGCAGCACTTAATGCAAAAAGTCGCCGGAGATATCGACCGGTGAATTACCAGCTCTTTGGAGAAGAGAAAATGCCTTTGTTTTCTGGGTACGACGATGCTCCCACCTGTGAGCAGGGGCTGAAGTGGTGAATCCCCCGGACTCTGTTTGCAGACACCCTGTCCTCTACAGCTTTTACAATCTGAATAAAATATGTGCTCTCAGAATGGCATCTGGGCAAGTCATATGGTGAAATTCTCCCCGCAAGCCTGGAGCACATTAGATGGGGGACGGAGACCGTCACTGAGGAAAAAGGGAACTGCCTTTTCTCCTACTTGGCTGGTTACTTCCCGGAAGGCAAGAAGCTGCTCAGGACTTACTAGCTCAGACAGTCTGGAAAGGGAAATACACAGATGAAGTTCCGGATCCACACAGTGGCCTGAGCTTAATGGAATGTCCCTGAACGTGTCCATCCCGCGACTGCTGCAGGCGGCTTCGCCAGCGAGTTGGGAAACAGAGGGCAGCCTCCGTGGCAGCAGAAAGCGTTCTCTCTGCAGCCTGTATTTACGCGAGGGCTGCCGGCCAGAGAAAAAGGATTTCTACCAGATGGCGCGCTCTCCGAGGCGCCTGGGCCCCCAGTGCAGGCTGCCCAGCACACAGGAGGCGTTCAGAAAATATCTGGTTGAGCCCAGTGTGGCAGCCCATGCCGTAGCGGACACCAAGCCATCATGAGAACATCTGGAAAACTGGACTGCAGGACCCATGCGGGGCCACCCCAAAGGAGGCCTTATCTCCCCACCCCCAGTCTGAACGGCAGCTGAGCCAGTTCCCTGACTCCGTCCCAGCGCATGGCCTACATCCCAGACCTGGGCCAGACAGACCCTCCAAGCACAGCAGTTCTTCCTGCTCCTGACCCAAATGAAGCAACTCGACCCCAGCCCCAAGGAAGACCCCAGCCCCAAGGAAGACCCTAGCACCAAGGAAGACCCTAGCACCAAGGAAGGATGCCTTTCTGAGAATCGGGCTGCACCGCCCCTTGGGAAATGCCACAGGCTTCATTCAGTGGCAGAAACTGGTTCCTGAACAGAAGTGGGTATGAACCAAGGAGCAGGGATGACCACAGCCAGGAGTAAGAGGCGGCTCTCTTGCAGGCCCGCTGTCTTTCTGCACCGGGCTCTTTGCTTTCGAATCGTGACGCTCCGGGAAGGAGCTGGCTTACGTAAAATGGCCAGGCAGATACGGCGCGTAGTAGGGGCTCAGCAAACCCCAGCTTCCTCCCTGTTCCCTTCTGAAGTGACATGGTAATGAATGATGACCAGAGAGGGGGAGGCATCCAGGGGAACCCGGACACATCCCTGGGGAAAGGGCGGGGAGTCGCCCCGAGAATGTCACTCTGGGACCCCAGCATCAGGGGAAGGTGTCCTCCGGGTCTGAATGACACGGAGCCCATTTTCAACAGCACCCCGCCCTTCCGAGACACAGGGGTCTGCGTTTTTCACAGGACAAATTACACACGAAGATAAAGTCACAGAAGCCACCTTAACGGGGCCAGCTCTGCACACGGGGCGTGTGGCACCACCTTCACGAGGCCGTTCCCCTAGGTGGTTCCAAAGGCCTCCTTACGATGCCCATGAGGCGGGCTGACCCCGTGAGGCACTTACCGACGGCTAGTCCCGGTGGGCCGCCAACCAAACCACCAACGAAGGCCACAGCCCCTGTGACCAGGGCGCCCCTCCCAGAGTGCTTCACGGCTGCCCTCATCTTCCTCTCCCCGGAGATGGAGCAGAGCAGCTTCATGATGTCCTCTACCACGACAGGCATCTTGGCTGGCCTCAAAGGAAGAAGTTCAAAGAGCAAGTGTTAATGGATTTAAGACCTTCCACCCAAATGTGACTCATCCTCAAGTTCTGAGGGGTCCCATTTTCTGCAGAGAGCAGCAGCCCTGCCACGGCCACGTCAGAAAGCCTCCATCCTATGGAAAGTCCTTTATCACCGAGAAACCGGGGCAGCATTTAGTTAACAAGCAAACAGAAACAGCAGAGAGATTCAAGGTCTTCTTTGCTCTCAGATTCACTTCTGATTTCTGACCAGATTAAGGAGGAGCCGGCTACATGTCCACACTTCCTCACAAATGAGGCAAGTCTAGCCTCTCTGGCATCCGTGGCCTGCTGGCTGGCTTGGGCAATCCCCGGACACACGGGCCTGGCAGAGTCTGTGCTCACACCACGCCAAGGAAGGGGAAAGGCCAAGCTCTGGAACACAGACCTGGCTCCAGCCTTGCTCCCTGTGTGAGTCTCAGTGGAGGACTGGACCCCCGAGGGTCAGCTTCCTGCCCCTTACTGTGGACACGTCGTCAGGGAAGATCAATGGCTACAAAAGGACACCATGGTTAGTACAGCAGAGGGTTGGCGAAGGCGAGGGAGGCCCTTGGTGTGATGGACTGACACAGTGGCCAAAACAACGGACTCAAACATACTCAAACAATCATGGAGATGGCGCAGGACAGGGAATGTTTCCCTCTGTTACACGGTCAGCAAGAGTCAGAGCCAACTCAACAGCAACAACAACGAAGACAGAGACAAACCGCCTACTGGCTGGATTCCTGTAAGGTTTAAGTAAATGGACATAAAGTGCCTGGCATGGGTCTGGAACATTACAGACTCTCGGTACAGGATGTGTCTAAACGACACTTCTGTTGCTAACACACACCACTGGCTTTTTAAGCAACTACTGCCGACCGTCAACACCTTTCTACGCACGCCACGTTAAAAGCATCGACAAGATGGAGGGGCACCATAAAGTAACTGCAGAATAAAATAAACACACAATTCCAGTGTTTTGCAACATGTAGGGATAGATGAAGGAATGGACAAATAGACCTTTAGGATAATGACCTTTAGAACAATCCCCTTGCTTGGTTTCTCTTGGAAACCTTTTGAAATTCTGCCACACTGACAGGGGAATGGCAGCCACAGGCCAGGGCTGAAGGAGGGCACATCTGCCCCGCTGAGGGTCTGGGTGGGAACAGAGAGACCAAATACTAACAAGCCACCTGGAAGGCTGGGAAGGAGAACCAATGGGACAGCAAGCTGGCCCTCTCCTTAGGACTTCAGGGTTCTATCGGCACTTTGCTTTCTCAACACCACTTTCCTTTTCGTTCAAGTTGCTGAAGGAACTTGACCAAGGAAGTTCTGGGCAGTCCCTGTTGCTCAGAATCTTTCGCTCATACAAGCTCTTTTGACCAAGGATAATTCAGAACCAGAAGTCTCTAGTGTAAAAGTGTCCTCTCAATCCTAGGAGAACGTATTACCACCAAGTCAGATGTTCAGTTTCTCTGCCGTCTTAGGAAGGGTAAGAAGCATCCTGTGCTCCAGCCCCTGTGAATTTTCCTTTTGAGATACTTTCGATCAGTGATTCTCCACACGTCCAAGAATCACTGAAGATGTTAAGTGCAGATTCTGATGCAGCTGGAATGGGTGCAGCTGAGACCCTGTACTTCCAACAAGCTCCCGGATGGTCTCTGGAGCTCATTTGGGGCAGCAAGGTGCTCAGCCTCAAGCCCAGAAAGTCTGATGGCTGTTACTCAGTTCTCAAAGTCAGAAGGTGCCAAGAGGAGTCCCCCAGATGTGTCTGTTCGGTCAAGTGAGGTGTGAGAGTCGGTGGAGGGGCAGCCTTGCAGGGTTGGCCAAGGGCCTGGAGAGCTCAGGTCGGCCTGCCCTGCTCTGGATCTGCCACACCCTCTCCTGCTTCCAGGCCTTGCCCGAGCCCCTATGCTCCCCAGCAGCCACCGCTTCCAGAGACAGGATAACCGAGGAAGGTCAGCATCCTCCTCTTCCTCTTCCTCCCTGGAAGACAGCCCCCTTCCATCCTCCCAGTGGTCAAGATTTGTCCACACACAAATGGACGGGACAATCAAACAGCATTGTTAACAGGAAAGGGACCGAACATAGCAGAAATCAACTGCCTTCGAGTCATTTCCGACTCATGGAGACCCAACCCACGTGTTCAGAGAAGAACTGCGCTCCACAGGGTTGTCAATGGCTGTGACCTTTCAGAAGTAGACAGTCAGACCTTTTTTCCAAGGCTCCTCTGGGTGGATTTGAACTGCCAACCTTTCAGTTAGTAGCTGAGTGTTTAACCATCTGCACCACGCTGGGACTCCATGAACATGGCAGAAGTCACGCAGAAATGGGGGGATGATTGGCATACCCCGATTTACCCAGTAGCTGTGCTCCTGAAGAGCTATGCAGACAAACCAGTTTCATTTCCAATACACATTAAGATAACCAAAGGAGTTGATTTTACGGTAAAACCCTTAAAAAGCTAAAAATCTAACTGTACAATATCTCATCACGCTCTGGTTTCTACCCAGCTTTTCATCTGTCAGTTATGCCAGAGAAAGGGAGGTGCAGCCCGGCCTCAGGAGCCCCACTGCAGGCTGCAGGGACCCTCCCATTCCCAGGGGCGTGAAAACCACACCACTAACCCCCGCCATGCTGGGTCTGGAGGCTGGCTTCCACCCCAGCACACTCTGCCCGGTGCCATGCCTTAAACAGGATTTCCGCAGAATAACGGATCTGCCCTCTCCAAGGAATTCAAATACAAAACGCATGTAAAAGAGGCAGAAAACAATATATACACACTTTACCCTCCACTGTCTGTTAAACAAAACCCAGCTTCTGCCTGCACTGGAATGACTTCAAGTCAAAACCCACAGGAGTTAATGAGGCGTCATTGTGCAAATGCTACCTTCAACCTCCACTTAGCCCAGTCAGGCCAGTGACAGACACAAGCCCGGAGCACTGGAGGGTCAGCAGGTGTCATGTGTGGGGAGGGCAGCGGGGAGCAGCCCAGGCCCAGCTAGGTTTCAACAGTTGCACGCCACAGGTAGACATGGCTCTGCGACTGTCTCCATCCACGGGAAAGCTGGCTTCATTTCCTCAGAAGAACCACTTCAGAAGTCACAGCATCAGTAGACTCTCTCAAGAAAGGTTTATAAGCCCATCTCCTGAGCCAGCCGTTGCTAAAAATCTCAGGTTCCTGAATTAAGCACTCAGCTGCTAACCAAAAGGTCAGTAGTTGGAATCCACCAGCCGCTCCTTGGAAAACCTATGGGGCAGTTCTACTCTGTCCTCTTGGGTCGCTGTGAGTTGCAATCTTGACTTGACAGCACTGGGTTTGGTTTTTTTTTTTTTGGTTTTGCCAGATTGAAGAGCAAAGCCAGTGCTGCTTCTCCTGCCCCCACCCCAAGGCTGCCTTTGTTTGCAAGCGACAGAAAGACAGTGAGGGGAGCAAGGGGGACATTCCAACAAGGACAGACCTCAGGGGGTGGGAGTGTGGCCTCCCCATCTCACATCTACTTCAGAATCAGATCTGTCCACAAAACAGGCCCCCGTCACAGGAAGCCCCCTCTGCCAGCCAGAGAAGGTAAGTGACAACTTGAAGCCCTGGTTTCTTGCAAGCACCCAGGCAGGTCTGCTGATTGCAGCAGTGGGGACGAGAGAGATAAATCCACCTCGGGAACAGCACCCGGCTTTCTGAGACAGCCAGATCGTGGGGCTTCGGGGAGAGGCAGCCTTCAGAGCTAACACAGACCTCCATGCACCCCGTGTTTTAAAAACCGGGAAAGCAAAACCTCTGCGAGTCAGAGTGATCTCTCTTACCTGGAAGTCGCTCTACTTCTACTTTCAGGAGGGAATTTGCCCAACCCCGCTGTGCACTGGCCCTTGTAAACTTTGCCTTCTCACTTTCCAGCCCCCAGTGCGAAGGCGGCAGTGGGATCCCACCAGCACACATCATTGCATTAACCCACGGTTTTTTCTTCTTTTTTTTTTTTAATGTATTTAATGAATTAGTTGCCAACATTTAAAAAGCGGGTAGGCGCCCGGGCCCTGAAGTCAAGCTGTCAGGGTTCAAATCCCAGCTCTGCTACTTGTTTCTTGCGTAGCTTTAGCTTCTCCTGCCTTGGTTTCTTCATGCGGTGTCCGCCATCCAGGACGTCGCCCCTCACTCCGCGGCGCTGGCGTCCCGGGCGCCCCTTTACCCTCAGGAGGTCAAGGCCGGCTCCGCGCCGGTGCGCCTGCGAGTCCCTGCCCCGCCGCTCCGCAGGCGCGGAGCCCTGCCCGGCAGCTTACCTCGTCCTGCACGCCCGGCCTGGCCGCCCGCCCAGCTCGTGTATCCTCCTCGACTGCCCTCCTTGCTCGCGCGCCCGGCCCG